GTTAAACAAATTTCTGACTGAATGTTCTCGTGTAATTTATTTCAATAAAAGATGTTTGATATCATATGAGGAAATTACAGATCCAAGTTCCTCAAAGGGTTGTTGAAATAAACCCACTTGTTAAAATATGGAATTGATGGCTAATGAGTTAAAGGTTGAATGATTAAACAGGCAGCTATACATGTAATTGATAAATTACATGTGGTTATGAAATTTATATGATATTTAATATGTATAGAATGTTAATAAGGTATATGAATATAAACTTTTACACTGATAATGGAAAAAAATACACCTGTTATTCATGTTGTGGTGACATTTTAACAATTTGATGAGTTTTGACTGACATTTTAAAGAATTATTGTCACAAATGACTGTCATAAAAAGCTATTAATACTCCTTTTATAACTGTCTTTGATATTTCAATTTATGATAAAAGTGTTTCCAATGAAATGTCAAATTATATATGATTTACTTGTATTAACTTGTGGAGACAGAAATATATCCTAATGTTTAGGTTTTTAGCTCACCTGGCCCGTCTGTTCGTTGTCCGTCAGTTGTCCATCCGTCGTCCGGCGTCAATATTTTACTTTAAACAACTTCTTCTTAATAACCAAAAGGCCTAGGGTAATGATATTTGGCCAGAAGCAAATTGGGATGAAGGGCTACCAAGTTAGTTCAAATAAATGACCTTCACCCTGCATTTTCAAGGTTACAGGGGTCAAATTTGTTAAAAACTTTAAACAACTCCTCTGAATAACCAAAACGCCCAGGGAGATAATATTAGGCTAGAAGCATGCTGGAGTGAAGGGCTACTAAGTTTGTTCATATTCAAGGTCACAGGGGTCAATTGTCTAAAAAAACTTTAAACAAAATGCTGAGGATGTTGATATTGGGTCAGTAGCATGCTGGGATCAAGGGCTACCAAGTTTGTTCAAATGAATGACCTTCCCCCACATATTCAAGGTCAAAAGGGTCAAATATGTTAAAAACTTTAAACGACTTCTGATGAATAACCAAAATGCCCAGGGAGATAATATTTGGTCAGTATTATGCTGGGGTGTAGGGCTACCAAATTTGTTCAAATGAATGACCTTGAATTATATTCAAGGTCACAGGTGTCAAATTTGTATAAATATTTAAATGACCTTATTTCAATCAACAAAAGGATAGGTTGGTGATATTTTGCAAGTTGCTTCCTTAGATTAAGGGTTATAATATTTGTTCAACATAATGACCTTGTTTAACTTTCAAGGTCACAGGGTGAAATGTTTTTAAATCTTTTAACATGTTCTTTTTAATTACTTTTAATCATGAATACTGACATTTTGTCTGTAGCTTTATTTTAGATCACTTTTAAGGTTGCAAGTGTGAGATTTATACCAGGTGAACGATGCAGGCCCATTGGGCCTCTTGTTTGTTTTGGTTTCAATACATGATTTGTTATAATTATGCAAGTTCATGTAAATGGTAAAAAAAAATCAAGATTATATGAAATTTTTCCTAAAGGCCACAACAAATTAATTTGGTATTAATTATCGGAAATCTTTTTGGTCATGTCAGAGTCGGTCTTAGTTTTTAAAAAAAATAGAGGAACTATTGACACTATGGTTAAAACTTTTCCGTAATTTTAGCGCTTATTTTTTTTTTTAGACTTTGTAATTTCTATAAACTAGTACTTAAAGCAGCTACATCAACAAGTTGTTTTTTTTAAGTTGATAATGTTTTATACCTTTATAAAATTCACTTCAGTATTACATGATATAAACACAATTTTTGTCTGTATAACGAAAATAGTAAAGATATGTAAAGGATACTAACACAATTTTTGTTTTTATAAGGAAAAGAGTTACAAATATATGTAAAGGATTGTGAGGTTATTAACATAACAATTAAGGAAAAAGAGTTAAAAATGTATAGAAAAGATATAATAAGACATGTCTATATCAGGAAAAAGTCTAGAATTTTATATTAAAACATATATGTTGTAGATCAGCAGATGGTCATACAATTTATGTTGAAAAGTACTTTTATGAAAAGTTACAAATATGTAAATGTATACCTGGGGGAGGGGGAATATACAATAGAACAGTAATTAAAATACTTTGATATATCACAATCGAAAGTCTTGTAAGAAAAGAAAGAAAGCAAAGGACCACAGCAACTTATTCTAATATTTGTAGGTTATCTTGAGAGACCACCTGTCATAAGTGTCTTCCCTCCATTTGTTTTCCCTGCTTTCTATGTAGCAGTACCTACCCTATTTGATTGAGCTTATTCTCTGAAAATTATTTCATTAATTTCAAACAAGCCCTGTTAAATTTCTACAAAAATATGTAGCTGTTTATAAAAGACATTTTCATCCATAGAGAGTATCATAGAGAAGATTTTAAATTTTAGCCAATCCCCCTCCCCCTTGGACCTGCCCCTTCTTCCCAGGCCTGTAGAAGTTGGAACCGTATAATTTTGACTTTTGGCCCTTGACCATGGATGCTTCCTCAAAAATTTGTATGAAGTCAGCTCCTAATACAAGATTTTAGCTCACCTGGTCCAAAGGACCATGGTGATGAGCTTATGCCATACTGCAGCGTTCGTCGTCCGTCGACCGTCCGTCCGTCAACTTTTCCTTTAAAACGCTACTAGTCATGAACGACTGAGCAGATTTTGACCAAATTTGGTCAGAAGCATCCTTATGGGAAGGGGAACAAATTTTGTATAAATGATGGCCCAATAGGGGAAATATAGCAAATTCTTTAAAATCCTTCTTCTTCTGTAGGAATGAAAGGATTTGTTCCATATTTGGTCTGAATCATCCTTGGTTAAAGGGGGAACAATTTTGTATAAACCGTGGGTCTGGCCCCCCAGGGGCCTGAGGGGCTGGGCCAAATAGGGGAAACATAGCAAATTCATTAAAATCCTTCTTCTTCTGTAGGAATAAAAGGATTTGTTCCATATTTGGTCTGAAGCATCCTTGGGTGTAGGGAAACCAATTTTGTATAAACAGTGGGTCTGGCCTCCCAGGGGCCCGAGGGGCGGGGCCAAATAGGGGAAACATAGCAAATTCTTTAAAATCCTTCTTATTCTGTAGGAATCAAGGGTTTGGTCCATATTTGGTCTGAAGCATTCTTGGCTGAAGGGGAACCAATTCTGTATAAACCGTGGGTCTGGCCCCCCAAGGGCCTGAGGGGCAGGGCCCAATAGGGGAAACATAGCAAAGTATTCTTAAAAATCCTTCTTCTTCTGTAGGAATGAAAGGATTTGTTCCATATTTGGTCTGAAGCATCCTTGGTTAAAGGAGGAACAATTTTGTATAAACCGTGGGTGTGGCGTCCCAGGGGCCTGAGGGGCGGGCCAAATAGGGGAAACATAGCAAATTCTTTAAAATCCTTCTTATTCTGTAGGAATAAAAGGATTTGGTCCATATTTGGTCTGAAGCATTCTTGGGTGAAGGGGAACCAATTTTGTATAAACCGTGGGTCTGGCCTCCTAGGGGTCTGAGTGGCGGAGCCCAATAGGGGAAACATAGCAAAATATTCTTAAAAATCCTTCTTCTTCTGTAGGAATGAAAGGATTTGGTTTATATTTGGTCTGAAGCATCCTTGGGTAAAGGGGAACCAGTTTTGTATAAACGGTGGGTGTGGCCCCCCTGGGACCTGAGGGGCGGTGCCCAATAGGGGAAATATAGGTAAAACCTTTATTACCCTTCTTCTACCATAGGGATTAAGGGATATTATCCTAATTTAGTCTGGAGCATCCTTAGGCAAAAGGGACTCAATTTCGTTTAAACAGCGAGTGTGGCCCCCCTGGGGGCAGAAGGGAGGGGCCCAATAAGGAAAACAGCAAATTCTTTAAAATCCTTCTTCTTCTGTAGGAATGACAGGATTTTTTTCAAAATTTGGTATGAAGCACTCTTGGGTGAAGGGGAACACATTTTGTATAAACGGTGTGTCTGACCCCCCTGGAGGCAGAGAGGTGGGGCCCAATGGGGGAAATAGAGGTAAAATCTTTAAAATCCTTCTCCGACCATCGGGATTAAGGGTTTTTATCCTGTTTTAAAAGTCTGGAGCATCCTTGGGCCAAGTTGACTCAATTTTGTATAAGCAGTGGGTGTGGTCTCCCAGGGGGCAGAAGGGCGGGGCACAATAGGAGAAATAGAGGTAAAACCTTTAAAATCCTTCTCCGACCATCGGGATTAAAGGATTTTATCCTTATTTAGTCTGGAGCATCCTTGGGTCAAGGGGACTCAATTTTGTATAATTGGTGGGTATGACCCCCCCTAGGGGCAGAGGGATGGGTCTCTGTTTGAAGTTTGTTCTCGCTCTATATCAAGTGCTGGATGGATCTTTCTGAAATTTTATATGTACTTACAGCACCTACCATTGAGTGCTATATCTTTACTTCATACCAATTATTTTAAACATATTCAGGTGAGCGAAACAGGCCCTCTGGGCCTCTTGTTTAATTTTATTTTTACAAGGGATTGATTTTTACATTAATTTGTGTGGAGATTAATTTGCATATTTAAATCTTCATTCTGTAAGTTAAAATTGCCATCAGTATTGAAAGAGCAACCTGAGCTCTCAATCGCAAATTAAATTTAGTATTCAAAAATAAAACCTCTAGAAACGATTTTGGCAAATCTCTACTTTCTTGACACAGAGTATCTTAAACTTTTACTGTAAACTGAACCTTTTTTAGTAGTTGATACTCTTTAGTGGTGATACTTCCTGCTATAACTAGTGCTAACTTATGATTGCACTTATCAAAAGCCCTATATACTTTTCTATAGTGCACTTATTCATAAATATTCCAATATCTATGTTAAAATCTTGATAATGTGTTGATCAATTTGAGAGTGCTATATTAAGAATGTTTATGGTTTATAAATATGTAAATGAGTATGATTTCTTTCCTTTAATTGTTATCAATATAACTCAATTCTATTTCTAATATCATACACTGTGCATAAAAGATGTAAAATTATAATGTTTTTATTTCAGGTTGTTGCCAACTCATTTTTATTCATTTGTGCAAACATAGCGGGGATCTTTACACATTATCCTACAGAGGTGGCCCAGCGTCAGGCTTTCCTGGAAACACGCAAATGTATCGAGGCCAGACTGACAACGCAACGGGAAAACCAGGAACAGGTACACAGAAGCCTCATTTAGTACAGAATCTGATGTAACCTCTGGTCTCTCAGAATCTAAAGTAACCTCTGGTCTCTTAGAATCTGATGTTTCCTCTGGTCTCTCAGAATCTGATGTAACCTCTGGTCTCTCAGAATCCCATGTAACCTGTGGTCTTTCAGAATCCCAAGTAATCTGTGGTCTCAGAATCTGATGCAACCGCTAGATCTGGTCTCTCAGAATCTGATGTAACCTCTGGTCTCTCAGAATCTGATGTAACTTCTGGTCTCTCAGAATCTGATGCAACCTCTGGTCTCTCAGAATCCCATGTAACCTCTGGTCTCTCATAATCTGATGTAACCTGTGGTCTCTCATAATCTGATGTAACCTCTGGTCTCTCAGAATCTGATGTAACCTGTGGTCTATCATAGTCTGATGTAACCTCTGGTCTCTCAGAATCTGATGTAACCTCTGGTCTATCAGAATCTGATGTAACCTGTGGTCTCTCAGAATCTGATGTAATCTGTGGTCTATCAGAATCTGATGTAACCTGTGGTCTCTCAGAATCTGATGTAACCTCTGGTTTCTCAGAATCTGATGTAACCTCTGGTCTCTCAGAATCTGACGTAACCTGTGGTCTATCATAGTCTGATGTAACCTCTGGTCTCTTAGAATCTGATGTAACCTCTGGTCTCTCAGAATCTGACGTAACCTGTGGTCTATCATAGTCTGATGTAACCTCTGGTCTCTTAGAATCTGATGTAACCTCTGGTCTCTCAGAATCTGATGTAACCTCTGGTCTATCAGAATCTGATGTAACCTGTGGTCTCTCATAATCTGATGTAACCTGTGGTCTATCAGAATCTGATGTAACCTGTGGTCTATCAGAATCCCATGTAATCTGTGGTCTCTCAGAATCCCATGTAACCTGTGGTCTCTTACAATCCGATGTAACCTCTGGTCTCTCATAATCTGATGTAACCTGTGGTCTTTCATAGTCTGATGTAACCTCTGGTCGCTCAGAATCTGATGTAACCAATGCTCTCAGAATCTGATGTAACCTGTTGTCTCTCAGAATCTGATGTAAACTCTGGTCTCTCAGAATCTGATGTTACCTCTGGTCTCTCAGAATCCCGTGTAACCAATGGTCTGTCAAAATCTGATGTAATCAATGGTCTCTCAGAATCTGATGTAACATGTGGTCTATCAGGATCTGATGTAACCTCTGGTCTCTCGGAATCTGATGTAACCTGTGGTCTTTCATAGTCTGATGTAACCTCTGGTCTCTCAGAACCCCATGTAACCAATGGTCTGTCAAAATCTGATGTAATCAATGGTCTCTCAGCATCTGATGTAACCAATGGTCTCAGAATCTGAGGTAACCTCTGGTCTCTCAGAATCTGATGTAGCCTGTGGTCTATCATAGTCTGATGTCACCTCTGGTCTCTCAGAATCTGATGTAAACTCTGGTCTCTCAGAATCTGATCTAACCAATGGTCTCAGAATCTGAGGTAACCTCTGGTCTCTCAGAATTCCATGTAACCAATGGTCTCTCAAAATCTTATGTAACCTATGGTCTCAGAATCTGATGTAACCTCTGGACTCTCAGAATCCCATGTAACCTCTGGTCTCTCAGAACCCCATGTAACCAATGGTCTGTCAAAATCTGATGTAATCAATGGTCTCTCAGCATCTGATGTAACCAATGGTCTCAGAATCTGATGGAAGCTCTGGTCTCTCAGAATCCCATGTTACCTGTGGTCTCTGATAATCTGATATAACCAATGGTCGCTCAGAATCTGATGTAGCCTGTGGTCTATCATAGTCTGATGTACCCTCTGGTCTCTCAGAATCTGATCTAACCAATGGTCTCAGAATCTGATGGAAGCTCTGGTCTCTCAGAATCCCAGGTTACCTGTGGTCTCTCATAATCTGATATAACCAATGGTCGCTCAGAATCTGATGTAGCCTGTGGTCTATCATAGTCTGATGTACCCTCTGGTCTCTCAGAATCTGATCTAACCAATGGTCTCAGAATCTGATGGAAGCTCTGGTCTCTCAGAATCCCAGGTTACCTGTGGTCTCTCATAATCTGATATAACCAATGGTCTCTCAGAATCTGATGTAACCTCTGGTCTCTCAGAATCCCATGTAACCAATGGTCTCTCAAAATCTTATGTAACCAATGGTCTCAGAATCTGATGTAACCTCTGGTCTCTCAGAATCCCATGTAACCAATGGTCTGTCAAAATCTGATGTAATCAATGGTCTCTCAGAATCTGATGTAACCAATGGTCTCTCAGAATCTGATGTAACCTCTGGTCTCTCAGAATCTGATGTAACCAATGGTCTCAGAATCTGATGTAACCTGGTAAAATTGGTTTTTCACACTAGGTGGCCAGGTGGTTCCTTAGGAGAGATGCATGGTCTCTTCAAAGGTTATAGTAGCTTCGTCTCTCAATAAAACAGGTTTTTTATGGCAGGTGATCTTGTGAAAGATCATCTTATTTTGACTGATGGTCTCTCAAGAATATTGGTTTCTTATTTCTTCTGGTGGTCTATGAAGAAAGATGGTTCATTGTAGACAGTCTAATATTAGATTATAGAACCCATGATGTAGCTTTAATAGCACAAATATAAGAATTTTCAAAATATTGCTTACATCATTAAAGCAATAAATATGGTATTCTCCATAGGAACGGCTTCTGCTCTCGGTATTGCCCCGCCATGTTGCCATGGAGATGAAAGCAGATATTGCAGGAAAACCCAAAGATACTATGTTCCACAAAATCTACATTCAGCGCCATGAGAACGTAAGGTAAGCAGTTTACATACATCTGTTGGACCAACACAGGAACAGCTATCATTTCAACAACAATATATTTTGTAACAAGTTAGCTTAAATCATGGTAATTACCGAAAACACAGTCGTGTAAGTTGAGAACTTCAAGGCTCCAGCGATCGTTTGTTCTGAGTGAAATGACAATTCTTTTCAAGCACTCTTAGTTGTTCCTTTACTGTCCTAGTTATCACTCGACTATTGTTTAGTTATTCATCTGATCTGTACGTGCGCTTGGGGCGGTCGTCTGTTTACAGTTGTCTGAATAAGGTGTCGTTCGGTTATAGTCGGTTGTGTGAACAAAATATGGTCACTTTTTTTTTAATTTCCCTTGGGTGGTCGCTTAAAACATATTCCACTGTATTGTTTTATGTAATTCTTATACTCCTTAGGAATTGGGTAATTACACACAAGGTGATGATGAACCTTATCATGTTACCTCATGTAGATAATATGTTTGGAGCTTTTCATTGGTTAATATCACTGTTGTAAGATTCATCAGGTATGTAATAAAACTGTCTGTATCACTAACGTAAGATTCACCGCCAGGTATGTAATAAAACTTTCTGTATCACTAACGTAAGATTCACAACCAGGTATTTAATAAAACTGACTGTATCACTAACGTAAGATTCCCCACCAGGTATGTAATAAAACTGACTGTATCACTAACGTAAGATTCACCATCAGGTATTTAATAAAACTGACTGTATTACTGTAGTAAGATTCACCACCAGGTATTTAATAAAACTGACTGTATCACTGTAGTAAGATTCACCACCGGGTATGTAATAAAACAGGCTGGATCTCTGTAGTAAGATTCAACACCAGGTATTTAATAAAACTAACTGTATTACTGTAGCCAGATTCACCACCAGGAATCTGATAAAACTGGCTGTATCACTGTAGTAAGATTCACCAGGTATGTAAGAAAACTGGCTGTATCTCTATAGTAATTAAGATTTACCGGGTATGTAATAAAACAGGCTGGATCACTGTAGTAAGATTCACCAGGTATGTGATAAAACTGGCTGTATCTCTAGTAATTAAGATTCACCAGGTATGTAATAAAACTGTCTGTATCACTGTAGTAAGATTCACCAGGTATGTAATAAAACTGACTGTATCACTGTAGTAAGATTCACCAGGTATGTAATAAAACTGTCTGTATCACTAACGTAAGATTCACCAGGTAAGTAATAAAACTGACTGTATCACTAACGTAAGATTCACCAGGTAAGTAATAAAACTGACTGTATCACTGTAGTAAGATTCACCAGGTATGTAATAAAACTGGCTGTATCACT